TGCCAATGTACACACAATCCAGTACAGGTTTCAAAATCCTTTTTACAAAGAAAATATTTGTTAATGTTTATGTGATGTGCTTTTATTACAAATGTCTGAGAATGGGGAGGACCATGATTCCAAAACCCCCATGGAATTCTGAAGGTAGGTTTCTCTTTTTGAGCTACTTCTGCCATTTCAGTTCAACCATTTAAGAATTTGGCAGTTTTATAGAGCCAAGTCCTCTATTTTAACTATATTATCTCTATGTAATGTATCCCTCCAGCTCTTCTGTACTGTACATGCTGGGTCACTTCCTGACAAATAGTTTACCCAATCTGTTATACAAACCCTTCCACATTTATTATTCCACATATATTATCATTCTGCCTTTCAAGACAGTCTTGCATTGCTTAGCCTTCCATCTGTGCTCTCATGTTGCAGCTTCATTGGCTTCCTGTGCAACTCTTCCTGCTGAATATTTAGCTTTTAAGAATACATTAACAGTATTTTTTTAAAATTGATTTTAAAATTTAAAAAATGTCATATTTTTATTTATCCAGAAAAATGCACTTGTTGCCTTCTGAACAGTTTAAATGCTAAATATGATTAGAATAGTCATGTTGAAGGTATACAAGTAAATAACAGGATGTTAACTCTTAGATGTGGAGTTGTAACAGATGGGGTAGCCTATAAATCTCATAAATGAATGAATGAATAAATGAATGAATGAATGAATGAGTGAGTGAATAAATAAATGGCACCATTGGTACGTCTTTTTGTCATAGGGATCAAAGGAGGAGACTTGACGTCAGTTTAATTTAAAAAAAAACGAAATTTTGGGAATTGGTGGCTAATAGTATTTCCATACACAGCCCCATGCCCCATGCATGCATTTCAGCATAAAATTGGACGCAATATTTTTCCTCTGTTTACAGCTGTCCACATACTGAGCTGACAACAGCCTCTATTGAATTACGCATACTACTAGAGTGACTAGCTGTGACAGAATCTGAGTGTAAGAAACTGATGTCAACCCTGGCCCTTGGAAAAGCCCCTGGAGAGGATATGATTCCTCCAGAGTTGAACAATTCCTGGTGGGTCTCCATCCAGACTTTTTCCAAAATAGAAAAAGCATGTGTTGTACATCCCCACTGGAAACGAAGTATAATATACTCAATCTTCAAAAGGGCAATGGGCAGAAACCTGCCAATTATCATCCAATTAATCTGCTAGGTACTTCTTCTAAACTTTATGCCAGACATCTTCTAATAAATTAGAAGGTTGGGAGGAAGAAACTTTTTTTTTTCATCCAGAACAGGCAGAATTTCAAAAAGGACATAGCACATTAGATCACTGTGCCATGAAGGCCCTTATTCAGAAATATACCAACAAACATACAAAGCAATTCTATGTCAGCTTTATTGACCTTACCGCTGCCTTTGATTCAATTGACAGGTCTCGCCTATGGGACAAACTAGCTAGGACAGTCATTGATAGATGCCTTCTCAAACTAATAATTGAACTACATACCATCATTGTAGCCAGAGGAAGAGTGGGTCCATAAGAATCCTTGTCAGACCCTATTTTATTAGAGACAGGAGTCAAACAGGGCTGTTTACTTGCTCCTTTCTTATTTAACTTTTATATTAATAATATTGAATCATGAAATTACCGGATGTACAAGCTGGGTTTTGAAGAGGCAAAGGAACTAGAGATCAACTTGCCAACATTCGCTGGATCATGGAGAAAGCATGAGAGTTCCAAAAAACATCTACTTCTGCTTCATTGACTATGCAAAAGCCTTCAGTTGTGTGGATCACAACA